GTCGCTATGAGTTAGGTCTGACTCGACGGCACATAACAACAGTAACAACATAGTATATTTATAGTATGTGTGTGTGTGTGTGTGTGTGTGTTTATAATTCCATAGTATAAGGAAAGTGTAGGGAAAAAGCTAATAAGTAATTTTGTTAATAGGAGCCAAGATTTTATGCATATGAGAAAAGAAATACAAGTCTGAAATCAAGAAGTTTAAGTAAAAACTTTATAATCTTCAATTTGAACTGGATGTAACAATAAAAGTCATTATTTATTTTTTCTTAAAATATATTTCCTAGCTTTGTGTACTGAAAAGGCTTAGGAGCAATAACAATCCAAAAGCAATGAGCACACCTAGCAACACACTGTGGTTTCTCAATACCGTTTCCCACTAAAAGGAACCAGGGATCTTTGGAGAAATAATCTAGGTTTGTGTGGGATAATTTGATCATTAAAAAAAAAATTCATGACTATATTTGAGATACATCAAATATATAAAAATAAATAGTCTCCTAGTGATACTAGAAATAATTATTGGTTACCATTGGACATTTCTAGGTTATCAACTCCTTGCTCTAATTATAATTAGTAAATAATGGGAAAGAATCAAGCATTTATCTTGCCTTTCCTCTATGAATTGTATTTAGGGAAATGAAATAGATGATGATGGTTAAGTTCGTTACAGGATTGCAGCTAATGAATGAAAGAGACATAATAGAATAAGAAGATCTTCATTTTGCAACCCTTAATAAATTAATAGATCTAGGCAGTGGTCATCAACAGATGCAAAAGATAAATGGGAGAATTTTGTAATGTAGGGATCAGACTGACACCACCTGAATCCACTGGACAATTTCAGTAGGATCACCAAACATTATATGCCTTGTGAAATAATGTAATTGGAAGTACATAACACCATTTTTTACCTAAAAAAATAAATAAATAAAAATAAACCTGAATCTAATCAAATCTCTAGATCAGCACTATCCAATTTGACTTTCTGTAATGATGTGCATGACTTTTATCTTCTCTGTCCAGTATGGTATACTCTATATGGCTTTTGAGTACTTTAAATGTGACTAGTGGGGTTGAGGGACTGATATTTTTAAAATAAATTTAAATAGCTACATGTGGTGACTATATTAGCAAAGCTCTATATTTAACTACTCAAACCAAATCAAACTCACTGCCATGGAGTCAGTTCTGACTCATAGCAGCCACCCCCTTGGGTTTCCAATGTGGTATCTCTACAGAAGTAGATTGCCCAGTCTTCCTTCTGAGGAGTGGCTGGTGGGTTTGAACCACCAGCCTTCTGGTTTGAAGTCAAGTGCCTTAGGCACTATGCTACCAGAGATCCTAGTGTACAGTAAATCGGAAGGAAGATTGGGCAATCTACTTCTGTAGTGATACCGCCTCGGAAACCCAAGGAAGGGTTGCTATGAGTCAGATCAGATGCGACGGCAGTGAGTTTGGTTTTGGGTTTGGTACAGGAAATACAGTGGATAGAGGAGTAAGTTAACATTATGAGGAAACAATTAGCCAAATCCATTTTTCTATAAATGACCACTAATAAATCAGTGGTATTGGGGGGGGATGGGCTAAGGATGTTGGAAGGAAGGGGCACTGTTTTGCAGTAAAGAGACTTAAGAGACAAAACAGTCAAATGCTTGTTTAGATCCTGAATTGAGCAAAGAATTATAAAAAGGTATTGAGATAGAATAGTTTAAATTTGAACTTGATCTTAGATGATACTAAGGAATTATTATTAATTTTATGAAATGTGTTAATGCCACACTGGTTATATATTTTTAATACCCTTATCAGTTAGAGGTACAAGCACTTGCATGACCCTGACAGTGAATGCCTCCTTAAATTTAGCGCTTCAGGTGCCTTGCCTCACCACAGTCCCAGCCTTGCTTGGGATGCAGTGTAATAAAATAGCTTAATGTTGTCATTTATCGCAGGTTGTAAAAACCTGTCCCAGCAAAGTTTTCTATATCTGAGATCTAAGATTTAATTTAGTAATTTATCAAAAGTTATATTGGTAGGCTTTGTAGAACTTCCCTATCTCTTTGTCTTGATCTAGATGATCCCCAAAAGAAGAACAAAGGTGATCCCATGAACAACCTGGAAAATTTTTACCAAGAGATGATAATGAAAAAACGTCTTGAAGAGTTTCAACTTATGAGAGGCGAACCTTTTGCTTCCCACTCACTGGTGTCAGCTACATCAGTGGGAGATAGTGGCACAGCTGAGAACTCATCATTACTCCAGGACAAGGGAAAACAGGCAGCACAGGGTAAAGGTCCCAGTCTCCATGTGGCAAAAGTTACTGATTTTTCACCTCAGCAGTGTTGGAGTGAGCCTAAGAAGCTGACGCAGCCAATAGAATTTGTCCCAGAAGATGAGATCCAGAGAAATCGTTTGTCAGAGGAAGAGATCCGAAAAATTCCTATGTTTTCTTCATATAATCCAGGGGAGCCAAACAAGGTATAGGCCAAATTAAAAAAAAAAAAAA